ACCTTTCTCTGCCTTCGCCTCTCTCCCTCTCCGTCCCCCCCTTCCCTCTCCTGTCGGGGTGCTTCAGCCTTGCAGGGACCAGCACGGCCAAGGCAGCTCCTTCTACCTCTGCAGGGAGGAGCCAGCTCCATTCCCAGGGCTGAGCTCCAGGTCTCCATCCCACCTCATCTCCTTCCCCAGGCAGAAGCACCCTGGCCCCAGGCTGTCATCCTGCCTGTGCCACCGAGAAGCTTTCAGGCATCCCGCAGAGGGCTGAGCACCAAATCTCCTGAAACCCTGGCTATTTAAAGGTTGAGGACTACAACTAGCAGGGACACATTAAATGCCACACTGCTCTTTTTTTGTTATCTGCTGCTGTGCACAGCCCAGACAATGATCCTGGGACTGGTCCGCTGTGGCTTTTCTTTGGTTGATGTGATGGTTATGCATGAGAGCAGCTGCACAGGGTTTTTTTGGCTCTTGGGAGCCTGCCCTCCCAGTGCCGTTGCAGGTGGGCTGCATGGGGTGTCTCATAGCAGGGCTTTTATTCCAAGACACTATTATTTCCAGACCCTTGGACCACCAGCGCGTGAGATGTCATCTTCCAACAGGACTGGGTCCAGTGCCCTGACCTTCATCCTTACCGGCAACCAATGAGCAGCTACTGGATGGCATTGCCTCTCTGCTGCCTGTACCTCCTCATGCTCCTGGGGAACTGCACCTTACTCTGGATGATAAAGACAGACCGCAGCCTCCATACACCGATGTACTATTTCCTCTCCATGCTCTCTGTGGCAGACCTGGGCTTGTCTCTCTCCACCCTGCCCACCATGCTGGCCATTTTCTGGTTTGAGTCCACCTCCTTCCGTTTTGAGGCATGCATTGTCCAGATGTACTTCATCCACTCCTTCTCTGCCATCGAGTCTGGGGTCCTGGTGGCCATGGCTTTTGACCGCTTTGTTGCTATTTGCTACCCTTTGCGCTATGCCTCTGTCCTGACGAGCTCCCTGATAATGAAGGCAGGGGGACTGATCTTCATGCGGGGCATCTGTGTGGTGCTACCCGTTGCTGTGCTTATTAGGAAGATGTCTTTTTGCAGGTCCCATGTCCTGTCTCACTCCTTCTGCCTGCACCAGGACATGCTGAGGCTGGTTTGTGGGGATGTGAAGGTTAACAGCTTGTACGGGCTAACCGCGGTGATACTCACCAAGGGACTGGACTCCCTGACCATCCTCCTGTCTTACATGTTGATCATCAGGGCCATCTTGAGCATTGTCTCCCAGGAAGCACGAGGCAAAGCCTTTAGCACGTGCATCTCCCACCTCTGTGCCGTCCTGATCTTCTACATCCCACTCATTGGCTTGTCCATCATCCACAGGTTTGGGAAGCACCTGCCCCCCCTCACTCACACACTCCTGGCTGATGCCTACCTCCTGGTGCCACCTGTCCTGAACCCACTCGTGTACAGCTGGAAAACCAAGCAGATCCGCAGGCGGATCCTCATCCTGCTCTGCCGGAGGGGGACCCAGCAGTGGCTCTAGTCCCAAACTGGCAATGCCCCAAAGCCGGTCTCCTCCTTCCTTTCCTCTCCAGACTGGTTGCTCATGGGCGATATCATCTCCTGGAGAAAATCATTCATGCTCCTTCACTTCCCAGGAGATATCTGGCACCTCTTCTGCAACACAGCTCTTTTCCTCTCCGTGGAGGGATGGATTATGGCAATTCACATTATTCCACCTCCCATTTTGGGATGCCCCACTTCTCAGAAATTCTGCAAGAGGGCAGAGCTGGTGTGGCTGTGTGATTAAGCTGTCCTCCCTGCAGGTGGGGAGTGAGAAGACTGCTGAGAGCAGGCTTTTGTCAAGGAATTCACTGCTAAAGGCAGTTTTGGTCTCTGAAGAAATACCAATAGTGTTGCCAGACTTATGCTTTTAATTACAATATCCCTATATTGGTCCATTATATGAAACTGTCAGTTCCCAGAGTTATGTGAACAATACGAGACTCCTCAGCTTTCATTATACAAGTAATATGATTCACATCTTTACAGTTATGGAGACAGGAACTAATGGCCTATGGACTGTAACCTAAGGACACAAACCCAGAAAACTGAGTCCAGTCTCGTTGCAGGGTCTGCAAGAGAAGTGTGTGGTTTTTACTGTCTCATGATATCATCTACTCTGACTATAATTTTTACAGAACATCACAAAAATCTCTCCCCACCTCCCAGGTTATGACGGTAGGTTGGTTTGGCATGGAGGTATAGGGTGCAATGGGCATGCAAGGCAATCCAAGCTCATCCTGCGGCACGTGGTGCTGTTTGTACATTGCCACGTTTCCTTAGGAACGCACGTGATGTGTGAGTGACATGCTTCATACCAGGGCTGGCTGATCTGCTCCTTTCAGAGCATCAGGCTGTGCTTAGAGGACCCTCCACCCCGTCTCAAGGCAACCTACCCCCTGATTAACCACCCTTGTCGTTGCGTAAAATAATCCTCCCTGCAAGCCAAGTCCCTGTGACTTTGTCATGTCTGCAGGGTCATACCAAACTGCTTGCTCCTTTCTGCCCCCGAATCAGTGCCTTCAGTCTTCCTCGTGGGCTGGTCTCCTCCTCTGGGCTATCTCAGCCCAGCCTTTGCCTCGTCGCAGTAGCTGAGCAGTCAAGAAGGAGGGAGCAGGGTGGAAAGGAGAAGAAAAAGAAACCATGACCTTGCAGGTGAGGGGGCAGCAGCCCCCATCTCATGGGAGAGAGCGTGCTGCGGTGATACGGCGAGCAGCACTCATGCTGGGGAGGGATGGAGGCAGAGGAAAGCACTAATCTCATTGCTGGCACTCGGCAGGGTCGATGTCCAGCCTTGCAAAGAGCTACAAGGTCGAGACTGGAGCTTGGGACAGCCTGAGCATCTGTCAGCAGGTTCCAGCAAAGCGGGAGATGGTGTGCGCTGCAGGGATGTGATGGAGAGCTTTCATAGGGAGAAAAAAAATTGATGTTTCTCTTTAGCTTTTTATTTGTTTCCCACTCACCCCGTACCGCTCCAAAAGCTGCTTTGGTAAATATACTGAGAGCTTCTCGCAGTTGTCCTAGGTGCCGCTATGGTGAATCCGAATGGCAAGGATCAGTGCCATGAAAGGGACTTAGGCGCTTTATTTTGGCAAGCATGAGAGAGTTATGGGAAAATTGTACCTGGATTTTTCTTTTCGTTAGGTCTCTTCCAGAGTCTCTTGGGTACTGTCACTGGGAGGTGCCAAGCAGTAAAACCAGCAAGAACACGTCAGTGCTGCTGTGCATGCTGCAAAGAGTCAATCAGGCAGATGCTGGGAAGGGACTGGTGTCTGCAGGAGGAAAGAGATTCTCCGTGCAAAAATAAAGGTGGATGCATGGCAAATGTGAGCGTTTAACATGTAGACTCTGGGCCTCATGGCTGGGAAGCTGCCAGAAGTCTGTCCTGTATTTTTCCAAGGGTCCGTGAAGTAGACGTCTGAAGACAGGGAATCTGTGTGTGTCCATGTAGTGCCTGCTGAAACTGTTGAGCAGCGTCTGTCTGCCGACAAGAGGTGAGAAACTGGGGACCAACGCACGAAGACCTGAGCGCTCAGCAGTGTTGTGCTGTGCAATAACCACAGGCATGTGGTTGTGTGAGCGCACGAAGAGCCAGTTTATCTCATGCTGGAATGTTTAGCTAAATCCAGTGAGTCAGACTGGGCAGGCTGTGGGGAAGAGCAAATGTTGCTGTAATCAGCTCGTGGACAGTAGAAAGCAGCTCCCCGAGGCACAGAGCAGTTCCCTTGGAGGTCAATGCAGTTGATGCGTGTCAGCTGCTGACAGATCTGGTGGCTGTTTTGAACTAATTGCCTCACAGGCAAAATCCACGACTGGGTTAAACTACGAGCACTTGGCTCTTTTCAGCCCAGCAGTGCCGATTGACACCGCGGCTCAGAGTCACCCAGCCCCAAAGAGCCCGTGCATCTCCTTCCAGGGACAGACGTGATAAGACAATTTGTCCATCCAGTGCTAACAGGGCTTCCCAGCCCTCCTGGACGTGGTCCTCCACTCAAGAATAGAGCACAGCTAATGCATTGCAGCCCTGAAATGTCTGTATGATGCTGAATAATAAAATCTGTAGTCACGTGAGTTTGTATTTATCCTAAAGGCACCTCAGCCACTTTACAGAGTAACGTGGCCAGGTACCTCCCTGCCTGTTGATTTGAGGTTTGCAGTATAAAATGTGCTACCTTGAGGCTTGCACGCATTTGCCATACCTGCAGCTCCCCCTAAACCCAGCTATTCTCCAGCTGTCTCTGACTCACAGCGATTTGCCGGCCTCATTTAATAATTGACAGGACCACGCATCTTCTTAACGTTTGCTGTTTGCTTTTATATGTTTGACTTTCCATCGGCGGCGCCAAAAGCAATAATGTACATACCAATTTTTCTACAAGTGCTTTCCACCTGTCGATCCCTTTCTCTTATCTGCTTTTGCTCAGCCCTGTACCTACATACTACATTTGCCATCACAAAATTCCCTTTTGCCAGCACACAGTGTAAGTTGTCAACTTCTACTTCACACCAGCACCTTCACAGCCTGGTAAGTGCAGTAGCTCTGATGATGCTACAGGGGATGTGAAAATAAACGATGTCCAGACACTGCCTCACTTGCTTCTTATTTTGGTCAACATTTGTGTTTTGTACCAATCTCACATTTTAGTCGTGCATGCAACTTTCCTTCCGAAACAGCTAACCATGCACGGCCCTTGGAATGGATTCAGCTGGTTTTGGGTTAACAGATTTCACAGGGTTTTTCTTCCGAGAAAGAGGGAACGCTCTCTGCAGCAGCACAGCTTTCTGACCGGTAAAACTTCATCTGCTCTGCAAGACATAAAAGCCAGGTCCTAATTATGAGGTTAAAGGAGTCTATAGACAAGCTCTGAAACTGGGTCAGATCTAGGATACTCTGATGCATACCACTGAGATATTTTTTTATTTTTATTATTTTTTGGTAACAACCATCCAACTCCTCTGCTTATGCATCTTATGATTTCACCATTATGAGGTCCTGTTAAGTTCCAGGAAACTTTGTAGTAAATCAACATGAATGGGGCGATCCTGAGAAGGGTTATGTGTTGATTGGGAAAGTTTGTTTTATCTTTGGAATGAGACATGGACTAATGTTCTGACCTAGTTTAAGACCACAAAATCCTCTGTTTACGCCTTCATATCCGTATGTTTGCACATCGCTGGACAGAGCAGCTTTTAGCTCCATGTAAACAGATTTCATACGTTAATCTCAACCTTGAGAATGAAGTGGATGTTTTAAGTAAAAGTGGGACACCATAAAAGGGCATATAGCTTTTCAAAGTGCTGAGGAAAAAACCTCCAAAAATCCAGCTTCTCGCTTTCCCTAGATTCAGCTCTGTATTCAGTGTCCCAAATTTGGGACTAAATGTGGGCCTGAGGTCCAAGCTCCCGTGAGAGTTAGAGGTGGTGAGGCAATGCAGTCTGTGGAGCACATCTGCTATAAGGTGAGCTGATATGCTCTGTAGGTTCAACCAAGGAACCTTCAAACTAAATCCTAACCCTGAGACTACATCCTAAGTAACAAATGCTTCATCTTAAATTTAACCCAATGGGTGTGACCCATTGGAGGTGTTTATGGCTCTGTAGGTCATGCATGAATAAACCCCCAGCTTTTGCCCCACAAGTGTCCTTCAAGAACCTCAAGATGGGTTATGCTGGATGGGTTTCAGGGTTTGCAGAATAATCCTAATCTCCAGCTGTGGGAGAAAATGAGGCATCGTGGCTGCTGAGGCTGACCTCGTTGGATCACGCAGGGACCTGGTCAGCCCATGCCTGGGAGCTGCTGCCCGCTATCACCTGGGGATGGCTCTCTCATCTCCTCCTCCTCCTCCTCCTCCTCCTCTTCCTATTCTTCTTCGCAACTTGGCTCAGCGTGGCGAGTCTTGTGGCTCTCGGCCCTACCATTGTGTCTCTTCTTGCAGAGAGGGGGAGTTTATCCAGCCTCATTGAGAAACCTGTTAACCCACTTCAGTATGAGGGATGGACCAGATGACCTCTTCAAGTCCCTTTTGACCACATTGTCTATAATTTTGAGGATTATCACAGAATGGACTGCATAAAACTGTAGCATCACAGCTTTGATAGTCCTCAGGGCACTTAGTTAGGTGTTCATTTCTGCTCCTAATACAGGGTACTGCATTACAGACTCTGGGCTATGGTGTCCAGAAAGTATTGCCCAGCAACAGCAGCATCTTTAATCATCAGCCATCCATCCTGATGGGCAGCAGAGACATTTCTGCCCAGCCTTTGTGCTCGAATCTCCTTATACTTGCTAGAAGATGTATTGTAAAGGTGAATACAAGCTTCCATTCACCCAGATATATTTTGTGTTTTGTGCAAGTCCCCACAGATCCAGTTCTACCTTTTTTGATACTACCAGCCATGCCGAGCCTGATTTGGTCTAATTCCATGGAAATTACCTTCAGTGCCTGCACTCCCCACACCTTCTTCCTCAATGAGGTTAGG